AATTCTCTTAGTCATGCACAGCCTTAGTTACAGCTTTTGTTTGGCTTTAAATTCAGTTTAAATCCACACTTCTATACATGGTTTCCAGTTTCTCATTTGGTTCACAACTTTGTAATACACATAGCTGTGTTTAATTTTAAATTCATGTGAGGCTAATACATCCACCAATTAAACCCAAATTACCCTACTGCCTCTATGTGCACCTTCTCATTATTTCACAGCTATTATTCATCATAACCCTCACTGTATTTTTGTGAATAGCTTTCTTTTCTGTGAATTCATAAAGTTCTGAGCATATTTTCATTGTTTTCTTAGTTTTTGGTGTCTGAAACTAGTGTTTAAAGTCATTTTTCATCACAAAGCAGTTACTCCATGACTTCTAGAACTGATGGAGTTCTGGCTTCCTGCGAGTTTTCCCATAGCTGATGTAAGCTTCTTTCTGATTGCCTCCTCTGTGGAGAAAATAAACTTAGGCAGATCTTTGTAGTGTGACTCTTGGGTATCCAATACCAGCTCATGTTTGCTTGTAGTCTTTCCCTCTAGTGAGAGCAGGCACTGGAGTCTCCTGTAAACAAGACACTGCTAAGAAGAGTTAGCCTGGCAAGGAGTGAGATCCCCTGAGAATTCAGCTCCTGTCAGCTCCTGCTCACACTGACCAGAGAGTCCAAAAGCTGTTCAGAGGAGGGGACGTGCATAAACGTGCCTGGGATGTTCTTACTAAGAACCTACTTGAGCAAATGGAGATGCCATACCAGGATAGAGCTTTTATGTTGGCCAGGAGTATGTATCTAGTAATCATCATCAAAAAAGAATCCTTATTCTTCTTAGTATTTTATACCTTAATAATTGGAGTTCTGTGCAGAATCATAGGGTTGGTAACCTCCCTCCCTGGAGGCACTTGAAGCTTAAAAAGCAGCAGTGATATTTTAGAGGCTATAGATATGTAAATCAGGCAGAGCACAGGGTGATGGATGGCTGTATTCTTGTTTAAATAAGTATCTCTGATTTCACTTAAGCGTCTTTGGCCTTCATGTGCAGTTTTCTCTAATAATGAATGTTTTTCACTGAAGTTTTCACCATTGTACTGGAATTAAATAGTTCTTTTATGATGTAGTTCACCCAGTGTTGAAATAGTTACCCTTCTGATACCTGGTTAGTGACTGTTGTGTGGAAGAGAAGGTTAGTTCACTTTAGTCCTATAATGAGGTTTTTTTTAAGCAGAAATTATAAAATCCAGGTGGTGCTTCCTTGCTTGTACTGTGTTCCTCCTCTTGAGTGTTTGGATAGTTTTCAGTAATACTTAATGGAAGGAGTTCACCTCCTTGAGCCATTTGAAACTATTTTTTCAGTACAATTGTAGAAACTTAACTAAATGAAAGTTTCATGTTAATCAGTCTTCCTGCCTAACATCAGGTATTATGTATTTGTAAGCAAGTTAAGGCAAGGTGATTTAGGCAAAGTTGTCATGGCAATGCACAGGAGGCTGGAAAGTCTGTGCCATGATTTGAGCTCAGCACTGAAATACTGTGTGCAGGGCAAGGTTCTCCTTACTGCTGCAGTACTGCAAGAAAAGTATTGCAACCACTGTGACAATGGGAAAGCTGAAAGTGTGAAATGAAGGGAGACTAGTGTTATAAAAGAGGGTAATTAAAGAGTTTAGAATTGCTTTTTAGTTTATATACAAGTCAGAAAGCATTTGCCATGGTGCTGAATGCTGTGTCAGTTGGAGGGGGAGTGTGTGGCAACAGATTTCTCATTTCAGCTTTTTCTGCACCTGCAAAATCAGTGGCAATATTTCTCTAAAATTATGTATTTACGTTCATTCAATTTTCTATGTATGTTATTTATATGAGAGAGGCTCCTTGTAGCAGCATATTAAGTCTTAATCCTGTTTTGGGAACGGAGAAAGACTGTTTCTGTATGGTCTAGAGCCTGTACAGCTCTGAATTGCTGAGTACTTCCAGAAAAATATTCAGGATCGGGGAATTTCCTGACTGGAACATGAGATGACAGCATTAGCAGTCATAACAAGTTAACTGGTTCCCATCCCTCGTGGCACACAGGTAGTTCTCCAGACTGGCCTGTGCACAAGAGCTGTGCCAGTTTTGATCAATGCTCCGATACTCCTTTCTTTGTTTCCTTAGCCCTAGCTAAGGAAGAAGCATCAAGAGGAGGCACCACCAAAAATGAAAGGAAAGTATGATCAGATGAAAAAACCCACAGGTGACGTGAGCACGTGGGGGCTTTTTAAAGGTTTATTGCCTAATTGTGTCTTAGTATTTTTCTTCCATCAGTCTGCATTATTAAGACTTCTACTTGTAATCAAATGTAAAAGCTATTCTGTCTCCACAAAAGGATTTCTTAATGCCTTTTTTATATTGTTCCTTAACTTTCTATCTAGTCAACAGAAAAAAAATCCTATTTATTGGTGCAATTTAGATGTAATTGTTGGTTCTGAAAGAAACTCTTTTAATTAAAAACGTTCTCCTCTGTTTTCTGGATACATACTGTCTCCTTAATAGAGGTGGCTGCCAAGCTTTGACTTCTTTTGGCAACCACAAATCTAATTAGCATTTCTGTTAGATAGAACCTTTTTAATTCTAAATTTTCAAAGCAATGAAGGAATTCTCTTTTTATTTAACAGAGTTTTGTCTGCCTCAGCAGCAACTATAGTCTTTTTGCCTTGTAGTTGAGGGTTGCTGTGCTAACACCTGATTGATATGTGCAGACAGCTAGGATTGTCTCACCAGCTCATGTATTTAAAACAAATGCTGCCCTTATGCTTCTTTAAAAAAATCCTTTTTTTCTTTTGCAATAAAGCTTAAACCATAAAAACCTAACAAATGAGATTAAACCAGTGATTTGTTTCAGCTTACCAGATCCAGTCCTTTTTTTAATGCAGAAGATGCTTTTATTTTAATTGGGTATCAAAGCAAATGCTGTTTGTTAAGAGGACACATAGCTCAGATAGGCTTGAGGAGATATATGGAGATGTTGTTATTTTAACTTAAGTTGAATTGTCTTTCCATTCATCAGCTGTATGGAAAAAATATGCAAGCAAGATAATGAATGTGGCTGCATTATACATCAAATTACTTAGAGATGAGTGAATGGGTAAGAGTTTTTTATATGGTCACCATATCATGCACAGGGGAGTAATGCACTTCTTCACTTTTTTTCTTCTTGAGCATATCATCAGAAAAACTTCAGATTGCCCAAAAGATTACTCTCATGGTCTTGTAGGAGAAGTTCCAAAGAAATTAAAAATAAAAAGATACCGTTGTGAACAGGTTTGCATTGTCAGTCCATCCACCAACATATTGATAAAATAGATTCATTTCTTTATCCATGAGGGCATAGGAGGAGTCAATACAAGTCCAGTCTTCATTTTGTTCTATAAACTTGTAACTGACTGAGCTGTGACCTCACTCTGACTTACCTGGATTTGATACCACTAGAGATGTGTGAGACCCTTTATTCTTTGGATGGTATATGGTTTTGTTGCTATGATCATACAATCTATAAACTACAGTTGCATGTTAATATTTTGGTTTTAAAATTTGTCATGAGACAGAGATTTAGTAAAAGCTGAAACTTGTGCTGCACTTGAAAAATACATATGGCTTGTTAAGTTTCTGTAAATAACCATTCTGATAACCCTAACATCATCTGGTCCAGGTTTCCAATAGTGTTAGACTTCCTGTATTTACAGGGGAAAACTGACTAATGAAATGCAAGATGTGAATGTGATATGGCTGATGCTACTTCTGTTTTTCAGCATTGTCTCATGGAAGGTAGAGCTTCTAAGACTAAGTATATTCAGCTGTTCTGACAGCTGAAAATGCCATTTATTTCTGAGAGTGGTTTTGTTCACCAGAGCTATGGTAATATTTCTGATATTCAGCATTTTAGTTGTATAATTTTCAGCATTTTACTGTGAAGTCTACATAAAACACTCTTCAAAATTAGAGTGCATATTAATCAAATGCTTTGCACTAGATTTCTGTTTGTGTTGAATTATGGTTTCCTACAGTGCATTTCCTTCAGCAAAGCATGAACTGTCACAGCATGACATGTTTATGCACTTCTGGTGGTGCCAGTTCAGAATGGATCCTCTTTGTATCTTTTGGGAACATCTACTTAGGTATTTTTTTCAGCAGAAATGTATAAGAAATAAATTCCTGTGATATACCCTACTAGAACTTAAATTGTGTTGTCATGTTTCCCTTGATTGGTGGGAAGCTGTCGAGCTGCTGGCAATTACAAACTAGCATAGGCATATTGCAGGTCTGCTCTAGGCAACTTTGATACTAGATTGCTGCTTTTTCCTCGAAAATACCTGCTTGGGACAAGCACTTGAGGAATCTTGTAGCTCACCAGTTACCTGCCCTTTAATATAGTCACTTTGTTTTGTCACCTCAGTGTCTTGGTGGTCTAGACGAAATTGTTATAAGCAATTGAAGACCTGGAGCTTACAATATTAAGCAAGTGAGAAAAGGTGTGTTGGAGACTTCACACCATGGTACAACTTTGCTTAAAACTCTGTAGTTGTAGATGGTTAGGTAAAGGAGATTTAGATTCTCCTCTTTTATGTAGTTCTTGCTCACTTTAGCAAATGTCATAATATTGTCACAGTCCAGTTGATGTTTCAGGCCAAGCTTTGAGGAAGTCAAGTGCTCCAGTAACTGTGACCTGCACTGCAGTGATTGTGGGTTCAGTTTGCTTTCTGTGTAAAGCTTCTAGGTGTCATCTTGAATATTTTACTTTTTTTGTTCTAGTTCTGTTATATAAGTAGACTCAGAGAAATTAGACCACTATCAGAATATCTCAGTGCTTGAAAATATCCTGTAATGTCTTTTTGCAAAGTACCGTTCTAAAAACCAGAGGTCTTGAGAACCAGGTCTCTTGTATCTCTGATTCCAGCTCAGTTCAAGAGTGGATTGCTGTGTTAAGTACTAGTACAATTTAACAAGACCTCCTTTCCTTTTTTGTTTTTGAAGGACTTGGTAAATATTGAGATGTTTTTGACTGCTAAAGAAGTGGAAGAGTCATTGGAAAGACAGGAGACTATGACTTGCTTGGCTTGGTGTCACGACAACAAATCCAGACTCAGAAAAATGAAGGTATGAAAATTTGCCATGTTTGTTTTGCTTCAACTGTTTTCTAAACTACTTGGATATTGGATGTGGTCAATTTGTTTTAAATTACAGGTCTTGAATGAGGTCTTGTATAAAAATAAGGACAGTAAGTATAAAAATCTTCTTAAAAGGGATAGGTAGCTGGAGCTAAATCTTGGACAAATGTTAAACCTGGAAGTGAGTGATAGGTCGTCTTAGAGATGCAAGTGTTGTCTCAACAAATTGTGCTCAAATAAAATAATATTCAGTTGATTTAGTGTAGTTTGAAACCATCTCGGTGCAGAAGAATGTGGTGTCTTGATGAATGTGAACTTAGTTTTATAACTCTTTGCATCCTGCTGAGACTCTAAGTTTATATGTGAAGGTATCTTAAGAATGAGATTAATTGGTGAACTATGTCCTCAGGCTTAAAATTTCTCCTGGGAGAAATTTCATACAGATTTTTGTGTTAAGTATTTAAGTGTTGTATGTAAGAAAATAAAACTTGAGCAAAGAACTAACTTGCTGTGAGAAACTACTAATGAAATGTGGTATTTTCAAAATTAAAAGCTGAAATCTAATCAAGTAATAAGGACAGTAAGTCTTTCTGAAGCCATTGAGTGCCATGAGCTGAAGATGCTCTATGCCTGTGCTGTGCAGTTGGTTTAGAGTTCCTTGTCTCTTAAACTACCCATTTCAAAACATGCTGTAATCTTTTATAGGGCTTGCAGAAATCTGTTTTAACTGATATTAACAAAAATCCCTGCCTCCCTCAAAGATGTTTGTGTCTTATTTTTTTAAATCAAGCACTTTTTTTAACCAAAAATGTTTGAGTGCACTTAACAATAAGCAAAGAGTGACATTCTCTGTCACTCAGGGGCGCCAAAATGAGACCGAACCGAAGATGGGACGCAGAAGTAAATCTGCCTGTGATTACTCTAAAGAAAATGATGATCTTGTTATGGAAACCATTAAAGGAAAACCAGAATTGGTATGTAAACACTATTGCATAATTATACTGCTAAAATATCCCCCTTGTGTAATCTTAATATGTAAAGTAACATAAGAAATATAATCTGAGCGTTTTAGTTTTTCATCCCCAATCTTCAACAAACAATAAATAAGGAAAAATCTTCCCCATCCCTTGTTTTGAAAAACAACAACAAAATCAATTTCTGCAAGCCCTACTCTTTTTTCTTTTTTTCTTTTTTTTTTAATCAAACAAAAACCAAAGCTAAGGCTGGGAGAGATCAGAGCTGAAAGAAGAGAAATCACTATGCTTCTTTTTGAAACACAAATAAACATTTCTTCTGCTTCTAGTTGCTTAGCTACTCATCAGTGTTGATGTTCTAAAATCACAGCTACCACCTTAATGCAAGCCTTACCTAAATTTACTGTGTGGTGGCCTGGGAGAGCACAGAGTGCTGTAATCTTCACAGATGTGAGGGATCTAAAGTCTTATGAAGAGCTGCTGTGGGATTGTTTGAAGCTGTACAAAGTTGGAATGTGCATCATCTGGTTGTCTAGGACTCTCTGCTAGTTCACTTGACTGCAGAACCCATAGAGCCATTGGCTTGCACCTTACTTGAAAATTCGTTTGGGCTGTGGGTTTTGCTATTGAATTGTTTTAACAAAACACGAAGCCCTGGGATTTAGTATCATTAGCAATTAAAAAGCTTGATCAGTTTCTTTAGTAGGAACAAGCTTACATAAAATTCTAAATGAGGGATTTATGTAGATTTGGATAACAAGGTATTCTAAAATAGTCCTATTTGAAAATGTCAAGACAGACAAGAAATTTTTATTTTCGGCTTAGTTGGAAAATAATTTATTTTCTATTCCTTAAGCAAATTTTAACACGACAGAATGCATCACTTTTATGTTCAAATGGCTTAGGTTTCAAATCTGAAAATAAGCAATTGTTGCAGTGTGTGCATTAGTCACCCCAGGCAGCTAACTGATAGAAATTTGGAGTTGCTCAAATTAAAAAAATGAGGAATTTTTACTGTGCTGATGGACAATAAACAAAAGGCAACTATTCATTAGAAGCATGGGGGAAGAAAAAGCTGTTTGCCAAACAGAGCAGTGTAACTCAGGGAATAGAGTTCCTTACATGATTTGGAGGATTTGGGGTTTTCATTGTTTTCTGAAGGTAACAAAACAGTTGACTGTGTCCCTATAAAGAAGCATAGTGACTTGTTCTTTTATGGCTGATGGACAATAAACAAAAGGCAACTATTCATTAGAAGCATGGGGGAAGAAAAAGCTGTTTGCCAAACAGAGCAGTGTAACTCAGGGAATAGAGTTCCTTACATGATTTGGAGGATTTGGGGTTTTCATTGTTTTCTGAAGGTAACAAAACAGTTGACTGTGTCCCTATAAAGAAGCATAGTGACTTGTTCTTTTATGGGGGGAGAATCTTTTTCTTTTTAATTCCACATATTCAAAGTTTTTTTGTAGATTTTGTGAACTGGTGATGGAATTTGATTTAAAGGGACACTGTCAACTTCATTAGGCTTCAAATTTTACCTTTTTCCAAAACCAGGTAAATGCCATTTGGTTTTCTTGTTTGAGACTTGTTTCCAGCATGGCTTTTAGATGTTTGACAAGAAGAGCGGGATAGAAGTTTGAAGAAAGGGAGGGAGGGAGGGGATTGCAGCAACTTAAGCTCTGTGCTGGTTTTTGTTAATATTGGGGTCTTCCAAAATAGTGTTCAAAGACTTGTTTCTTCATTGCAGTCTTCTGGGTAGACCTCTCTTGTCTAAATTATTATATAGCCCCAAACTACTGTTGAATCTACTACTTTGAATTGTGAGAAAGTACAAAGAAACCACCTATTACTCACTTGTGTCTCAGGTAATGATGCTTTCAGTCATCAGGGAAAAGTTCATCCCTTCTAAATACTGAAGTTTTGAAGGAGGCAAGAGGAGGAGGATTTTGTTTGCTTTTAGGGCATTCTGTGCTGATCTTGTCCATAGAGTCAGCATTTCAACTTTCTTGCATGAATGCCTAAAAGCAAGCAAATGAGGTTGCATGTTATTAACACTTTCTTTTTTTTTTGTTGTGCACATGTAGTACTTAACATACCATGCGGTGCAGCTTTGGCACCATCTAAGACCCTGTCTTGTCTTTAATCTCAGAGCTGTCTGGAGTTCAGCCTAAGGATTCAGGAGTTCATTGAACTCATTCGACAGAACAAGAGACTGGATGCTGTGAGGTATGAAATTAGGATGCTTACCAAGCCATTTTCTTAACAAGACAGTGTTATGCTTCATGTGACTGTTGTTGCCACACCCAGAGCCCCACTGCAGTGAAGGATCTTGCCTGTGCTGTGATCAGGCTTTGGATGTAAGCTGGGATTGAATTTCTTTAAAGGCAAGGTGTCATTCCACAGATGTGCCTTTTTAAAGAGTTGGTGTTGTCACTGAAACTCTCCATCTTGCTCTTCAAAATCAAGGTTTAGAAAATCAATGTGTATTAGAAAGCAACTGGATTTTCTGGTGGCATACAGTGTAATGTCTATATTTACCCTTAACTCATTTTCAAGAGACAGCTGGCTTCTCAGGGGAATTCATTGCAATTTTAACCACAAAAAACACTAAAGGGTGAATGAAACCTCTATCTAAAGCTTAACACTTCCATTTTGAGTTATTTCTCTTCTGCTTTTCTGTCTTAAACATTTTGTTCTACCAGGTATGCTTTAGGCCAGGTTCAGCCTTTGTATTGATGCCTAATTTAGTTCTGTATTGTCAAGTGTGAGACAATGACAAGCTCTGTTAGGTTTTCCCCACTCCCTTCCTCTGGCCCCAAACAAAGAAACCAACTCAATATCCATTTTCACCTCTTCTGAACTTGTTCAGTGGGGGCTGCTTTGATAAAGTGACACTGCCCAGCATGGAGTGAACCAGTGAAAGAGTTGGGGACAGACCTCAGCACTGCCTGACTTCAACCACTAGACAGTGTTTCAGACAATACTTGCAATATCAGCACATTAAGCAGTTTATGCTTCTGAGTTAGTGGTCCTGATTTCAGGTCCTGGAATAATGTTCCAGGATAACACAGGAAACCCATTCTGCTGAATTAAATAGAATTTAGATAGCAGGAGTATGAAATGTGCTGATAATTTGATAAGCAGTGATCTTGCCAGCACCACAAAGTGTGATCCAGGTGTCAGAGCTACTGGAGCTTACACGTGGACAAGGGAGAGAGAACTCGGTGAGTTCTGTTTTGTAAGAGTATTTAAATCTAAAGAGAGATGACAAGTTTATGGCTTGACCTGAAGCTTTGCTGATACATTCTGACGCTAACACTGCTGCCACTTAATGTTTCTGACAAGTTTTATGTTAAGGAAGTTGCAAGTTTTGCTGCCTTTAAACCCATGCTAGGTACTCCAGAGACTGAAAACAGCAGGAGCCTTGTATTTGTGGCAAAGCTGCTTTTTGGTCAGAGGAGCACAGAGCTATAGAAAACATTAAAGTAGCATAACATATGCATAGACTGAAAGCATTCTAGCATGTTTCCAGGTTTGAGATGGAGAAGCTCTCCTGCAGCGCAAAGTTTTAGGGTTATTTTCAGGTTTTATTTCTAATTTCATTCAAATGTGTGGCTTGCTTTAAGCTACCTCATATCATTCCTACTTTGCCCTACTTACACCTGAATTGTTGTTCCTTTGGTCCCAGCCAATGTAAATGTGCAATCTGATAAACTCCAGCTAATTTTAATGTTATTAATTAAAAAGAAAATAAACAAAACCTACATGCTAGCATTTAGATATGTGCACTCAACCTTGGATAGAATTCTCAAGACCTAAGGAACTGTCAGGTACTTACGAAAAGGATGAAAGAAACTCAACTACATTATCTGTCTTCTGAAGCCCATAATGCTCTTTATACCAAATGAATACTGTGCCTTTAGCTTTATTCCCTGAGTTTGTTTCTCTGCCAAATGTGCAGTCATGCATCTTAACAATGACTAGTCCATGCTCTAAAAACTATTTTCTTTGAGCTGCAGCTTCCTTATGTAGCTTGGAAACCAGAGAGCAGGCACAGAGCTGAAATAAGGAAATAGGCTGAGAACTGGGACACAGCAGATAAGGTCATTCTGTATTTTATTGTTACTGATATTTGTTTCCCTCTGATCCCTTTTCCACATCAGAACTGGTAAAATTTGCAAGTTGTCAGGCCTCAAGAGGACATAGCAGGCTTGGTGTGGAATAACTTGTACTACCATAATCTCTGAGGTTTAAAGCTTGCAGCTTCTGTCTCAGCAGTTAGAACTTGCCAGTCACAGCAATGCTGCTTCAACCTCATAACCAGCTGTAAAATGAGAGGGACCTACAGAAGTCCTTCTATATCTTAACTTATTCCTTTTTAACAGGATGAGTTTTGATAATTTTGTACATGGAGAGTTTGACATCTCAATGCTTTCTTTAAATAATGTGGCTTTAAAATGTTAGTTTTTACTATTGCATTCTACTTTGTTTCAAAATAAGTAAGTAATGAAGAAGGGAATATATTTTGGGAAGGTGTAGCCTAAATCTCATGGCTTCTAGCAAACCCTTGCAACTTTTGTTTTTATTAGCTTACTTCTGTTAAGTGCCTGCAGCAGGATCCTTTCAGTGTTTTGTCCATGGTGCAATAAATAGGTCAGGCATCCATTAGGAAGCAGAGAAAGAGGCTGTTTACCAAGGAGTTTCCTGTACCAGTGAAACTCGGGGAACTGACATTTTGTTGAAACGCAGCTGGTGTTTAAATAAGTTTGAAAGCTTTGCCTGCTGAGAACCTCCCAAGTGACACATTGCTTTTAGGTTAAAATGGATGTGAACTTTAAAATTATGTATCTTATTTAGCAAGTGTTTGGATTTGTGCAGCTTTTTAGAATATGAGTACAAACAGACCTTCCTCTAAGGCACCTTGTCGGAGTAGCCTTGAAAGTGCAAGTTTCAAGAATGTACAAAAACTTCCTTGAATACAGAGTGTATCTCTTAAGTACAGCACAGTTTTTTGTTTAGTATCATTAGCCTTTAACTCCCACAGTCTCTATAGGTGCTTTTGTAAAACTTGTAGCTATTACAGTAAGAATGAATGACTGATGACATTAATTTCATACTTTTGGAGCTCTCACTAATTTCATTCTGGGAAATCTGACAGCATTCTGCTACTTTGCACTTATAGGATGCCAGAGAGACACAGAGTTCTTAGCTAAAAGCTTAACAAAACACCATGTGCACTTTGTGTTCTGGAGGTATTAAGGACAAAAGGAGTAAATAAGAACAGCTGATGGTGCACAAAGTTAGGAGAAAGTGATTACAGTGTATCATGTTAGTCAACTTCTCCCCTACAAGGATGAATAAACACAGTTTGTTCCTTTGTTTTTATTGTGGGGTGGGGCTGAACAGGCCTATAAAAATAATAATAAAACTTTTGAGTACTTTAAGTATAAATGCTGCTGGTTGTCATAAGGATCTGAGGTAAAGGCATTCATGTGTCAGTCAGAAAGACTGCAGAAAGAACAAGTCCTTACTTGATAACTCCTTATGTTTGTGTTCAGTTATTGCTACTGCCCAATACATATGTTCAGTCTTATATTCAGGCATATATAGATATATAAGCTGTACATTGCATATGTGTATACTTCTGTAACAATCTAATGTACTCTTAGTGATCTCTAAATCTTCAAGTCTCTGTAAATATTTGTCAGGTACAATATGTCAGCTGGACCTGTGTGGGCTGGAGGGTGGGACAGCTATTTCAGACAAAAGACAATGGACTTTGTCCCCACATAGTTTACAGAATCGTTCTGGGATTTGAAAAACAAAATTTTCTACCTATTACTATGATCAATCACAAGATTTTTGTTAGTGTCTTCAGTGATGTTCTGCTGTCAGGATTTAAAAGAATCATTTCTAGGGAAATTTAGCCCCCTGCCCTAGCTATACTGACTATTGTGTGCTAATGGTGGTAAAAACATTACAAACAAGTGTTGTAAGGGTCACATACATAACATTTGCACAAAGAGCTGAATGACAAGGGAATAACAGCATGAGGGCAGATAGGGTGTTAGTTGTAAGCTGTGCATTCACAAGTAACTCATGGTACTGTTTCTTGCTTCCCATGACTTCAGAGCACCATGAATTGATGAACTTGATTCTCCTTTAAAGAATATCTTGCTTCATTTCTGTGTCTTTGTGTTGGCATTCAGAGGATGAAGTTCAGCTGTTAGCGTGCAGGCCTTGTGGGAAAACTTCCTTGGCTCTTTTAAGAGCACAGGAGGAAAGGAGAGACAGGAGATGAAGACTAACAGAAGGTCACTTTAGAAAACCTAATTCCTTCTGGCTGAACCCAAAATGCCACCATATCCCAGTATGTTCAGTACTTTGCAAGTGATGGGAAGTGTTGGATTGTTGAGCACTTTGCATTGGATGGCAAGCAAATATACAGGGATTGTGTATCATACGTACACAGAAGTGTTAATTCTAGCTCCTCCTGAACACACACAGTAAGTGTGGTCACTGTTTGCCTGTCAAAGCTCAGTGTCTTCATTAAATGTGTTGACCTGCTGTCTGCAAAAGCAAATTGTCATGGCCTGGCAGGGAGGAGGAGCACAGCACTAACAAGGGTGGTGCCAAAACTCAAGTGCCACTTGTTCTACCATTGCAGAACACAAATGCATGGTGATCAGTGCTTTTAAGAGCATTTTCCCCCCTCATGTACGTATGCTCATGCAGTACTTGAGCTTAACTGGTAGGTCTAAATGTTTTTGCTTTGCTTAATCTTTGTTTTAAATAGCTCTTGCTTTCATCTGCAGCTCTGCACCATAATTTTAGCTTGTCCAGGCTGCTCATTCTCTTCTCAGGCTATGGGGTTTGTGCTTCTGCTCTCGTAACAGTAATCACCTGGGGAACAATATTTACATTCCTTGATTGCTCACCCAAAATAGGAAATTGGGTGGAAACAGTCTGTCCTACATAACTTCCATTGCTTCCTGGTTTGGGTGGGAGAGGATGTGGGAGTACTGAAACATTGCTAAAGAGACTGTTCTCATGGTGTTGATGACCTCAGTGTAGTAGTTAATGGAATTCAGAATTGATAAAAAAACTCCTTACCTAGGTTTTTGAATTCAAGCCATGAAATGGGCAATTTGAAAATACTGTCTATTGCTGAAATTCACTTAAGTAGATTTTAACAAGACTCTCTAAAAGTTACAAAAGAGAAAAAAGAGCAAATGCTTAGCAGAGTACTTGAGAGATGACTTGATGTTTCTCACATGAGACAAACTGTACAGAACACTGAGCATAGGGAAAACTTTCCTATACTTATGCCATGCCAGAAATTCAGTGTGATGCTGATTCCATACCCAGTCTACTGTGCTACATTTGTGCACCACTGAAGAGAGGAGCTCTTAGCAGAAATGCCAAACTAATCATCCAGTTTCAAGGCTGGAGGGTTTTCTGCACACTTACACTCCAACTTGAGAGTTAAGATTTTGGGAGGACTAGATAGGTTTTCATACAGGGTTTTAAAATAGTTGAATATCCTGATTACCTGGTACTAGTTTTGTGGTTTCTTACTATTTCCTGAAAAAATGAAGCCTTGAAAGCAACCTGATGTAGTGAGGAGGTGTCCCTGCCCATGGCAGGGGGTTGGGACTAGATGATCTGTAAGGTCCATTCCAACCCCTAAATTACGTGATTCTATGATTTTATTTTTGATTTAAATATATTTCTGGTAATTCTGTCATTTTCTTCAAATATTCAAGTTTTCAGCCTTATAATTAATGTGTTAAAAGTACAAAAAATTGTACTAAAGTTCTACTTAATTTTATTTCCCTGGAAAAAAAAATGCTCTTAACAAGGTGTTTTCTGTTACATTGCCCTACAGTTTCTTGTTGTCTGCACAGCAACTGATACTGCCTTCTAACCTATACCCCCCACCAAAAAATAATTTGTTCAAAAGTAAGCATTCCTTCAAATGTCAGTAGAAACAAGGCAGATATCTGAACACCCTTGGTCTGTAATGGTTCTGGCATAGCTGATTTTCAGACTGCATGTATCTCACTTGGGAGTGTGTGCCAAAGGAGTGTGATACACTGAGCTGGCATAAGCAGAGACATTTCTTCTAATAATCATGGATCAGTTGTTCTAGTTGTGGGTGAGGTAAGATTTCATGCTACAGTAAGAAATTCTGGTTTCTGAGACATTTCAGTGTGAAAACACAAATCCTTAAAGTCATTCTTGCTTTTCCATTTGTAGGATGTGCTTTTTTCCAAGTCCTTTAAGTGCCTCACCTTTTGGAGTTCATGTATTGAGAGCAGAATCCAGAGTTTTTCTCTGAAATCCTAGATAATTAGGTAAATGTACTTGATTTGGAGACGAGGCTGTCTAATAAAGTATCAATTCTGTATTTCAGACATGCAAGAAAGCATTTCAGCCAGGCTGAGGGAAGCCAGCTGGATGAGGTTCGACAAGTGATGGGAATGTTGGCCTTTCCTTCAGACACTCATATCTCTCCCTATAAGGTAACATCCTGCTTGAAGTTCAGTGGTACAACAAAATAAGAAAACACATGTTGCAGTTCCTTTTTCATCCCAGGAAAATGCAATGATAAGATCGAATATTGTTCTAATTTTACTTTCTACAATGCACCTCTGTAATAGTTCTTAATAACCATTCCTTGCCTGTACATTAATCCAGGTAGGATTTGTATTGTTGCAGTTGGATTTTAATAGTAACACAGACTGACACTGGGCTAGGTTTACCCCAAACCCAGCACTGCAGGTCTGTGGGGCTGGAAGCTCAGTAGGTAAATATACAGCAAGAGAGAGAAGATGGGGAAGTACAAAGCAAAAAAAATAAGGAAATCTTGTTCAACATACAAGGCTGTGGCTTTAATACACTGTCAGCAGGTCTTAAATCTACTTCTGACATTACTGTTGTTGCAGTGGTTGGGATGAAGAAAGGAAGGACAGTTTGAATGACCTGAAAGAAGTATTTTTTTATCCTTAAAATAAGTGTTCATTTATTTGGATTATGCAAATTAATGTAGATATTAGTGGTAACATCTACATCTCAATTTGATTCAGGCAGAATTCCTAGGTAGTTATTGTTTCTACAGACTTGAGTTCTGTGGTCATGTGCTAATTCCTTTCTTTTTAACTTGGCTTTGGAGGCAGAAGGTAGAGAGGAGTTCAGCTGGCAAAAGCAAGACAAGAATTCCATGAAATGCCAAGCCAGTATGTGGCAGTGCTAGTATAAACATGTTTTTTAAACAGTTGATAATGAAATCAATGGTTTAACTAAACAAGTACAAAAACCCAACTAAAAATAAAAACAACAACCCACAGAATTCCCGTGAATTTCTTTGCTAATCCCAGAGTCCTAGAAGGATCTTGGTGTTTTGGATTCTACATTTGATGTGAGTTATGAGCATAAATGAGCTCTTCAAATTTAAATATTTTTGCAAGATTCTGTAAACATTATATATTCCAAATGGTTGTCAGCAGAATTAGCCTGACTTGAGGTAAAAAACACTTCTGACTTGTTGATGTTAATGGTTCAGAGGCTGTAGAGAAACATTCCCCAGTACTAATGTTGCTTCTGAAGTACTCCAGCATTCTAGCAAACAAAATGCAGGAAGGAACCTTAGCAGGATTTACATACCTTAATTAGAACATTAGGTGGATGATGGAGATTGAATATTGCACCAGCTATTTTAAGTAATATTTGATTTAATAAAGTGGAGTTACAAGGTATTTTCTGAACAAGCACATCCATAACATGCATTATCATGTACATTTCTGTTCTGTGATGGGTTTGGTTGGGTGAGTTTTGCACAATTTGCCACTCAGGCACAATAGATTGAAAACAACTTATAGTTGTGTTGTTTTTTTGACAGGATCTCTTGGACCCTGCTCGATGGAGAATGCTGATCCAACAGTTTAGATATGATAACTACAGACTACATCAGCTGGGAAACAATTCTGTTTTTACTATAACACTCCAGGCAGGCCTTTCAGCTATAAAAACACCGTATCCTTTAACACAGATACTACTGGCGAGGGAAAAAATGCCTTGTGGGGTTTTTTGTTCCATGGATGCTTTCAGAGAGCTCAGAGGAGAAATGTGACAACTGAATATTTTTGCTCCAGAGTTGTTTAAATGGAGTATAAATTGGTCCCTGTTAAATTAAGGGGAGATTATAATAAGTGACATTATGGTTTTTAAAAAAAGCACGTACAAAAAATGCACAAAAAGGTGAAATCTGCAGTGTGTTTGGTACTGGGCTGTCTTTCCATGTGTCTTAACTTCTGCAGGTATATTCACTAATTTAGTCAGCTGGGTCACAACTACTGTTTTTTAAGCACTTAGACACAAATTTACCTGCCCCTTTTCATGTAACTCTTCAAATATATCCTGCATGTTTTGAAACTGAGATGGGTTTGCTGCACACTATGGTGTGTTGGAGAAGGACTTGTGCTGCTGGAGTGTTGTACCTGTGGAGACTGCCAGACACATTGCTCACTCTTGTTCCTTGAAGCAAAGCAAACCCTTGATTCTCGTACATACACATGAAACCTGAATTAAATGGCCCTGTACGTTCTGTGACCTCAGCTCTGTTGGCACAGTTGAAAACCTCTCCCAGTGTATGTCATTAACTACTTGCAGCATCGTGGTGATTGTTCCCTAACCTGCTGTGAACAGACAGTGTTATAAAGAGGATGGGAGCTCAAAAAACCCTGACTGCCCTGTGTGTAGCAAATCCCTGAACAAGCTGGCTCAGCCTCTGCCTATGGCACATTGTGCCAACTCCCGACTAGTCTGCAAGATTTCAGGGGATGTAATGAACGAAAATAATCCTCCTATGATGTTACCAAATGGATATGTCTATGGATACAATGTAAGTGTTGGAATTGATGACTTACTGAAGGCTAAAATAGCAGTGGTTATAATAACTTTCTAGTTCAAAATAAGAGCTTGGAACTCAGTCAGAAAGCTAGAAGTATCTTCTAGGAAGAAAAATACTTCTTGCAGTAATTTGTTAAGGACTGCTTAAATTAAAGAAGCTAATACCTGACATGAATTTGTAACATGAAATCAAATGCCATTTGAAACCTTTGCCTCTGGAGAGAAATAATGTAGATAAGGGATTATTTGGGGCAAAGATATTTTGACCTCAGACTACCTTTTGTTTTTAAATTGAAGAGAGTTTATTTCCTAAACAGCTTAACAATGCTTTGAGTTATTATTGTGAATGTTATCTTTTGGTTTCCCTCTTTTTCAGTCTCTGCTTTCTATTCGTCAAGATGACAAAGTAATTTGCCCAAGAACCAAAGAAGTCTTCAACTTCTCACAAGCTGAGAAAGTCTACATCATGTAGGTCCGTAAAACACGTGATGAAGTGCCGCTGGAATTTTGACACAGTGTATCTTGGCATACCCTGAAAAGGGGAGGGCCTTAATGTGTGGCAAAGAAGCAAAACCTGCCACCTGGGGGATCAGACCTGTCGGTGGCATTGTTGTTTCTTGCGACCAAAGATCAATGAGCAACAATAAACACTCTTTAAAAAGAAAAAAAAAAAAGAGGAATTACGACTTAAGTTTGTACTTGAATAAAAAAAACAAATTTTGATTGTTAAGGTTTTGTAACATAAGGTCAAAAATTGGACTCTTCTCAAAAGTACTTTCATCTTCTAAAGGATAACTTTCTTTAAAGATGGACACTTGCACTGGGGGAAAAGTTACAACAGATTTGAAATGAAATCCATTTTTCTTCCCTCTTTTTCACAATTGTCCAAGACCCTTTTGTTATCAAAGATTTCAGTCCTACCAACATGTTCTCCTTTAAGCTCCTCTTTGCCTTCTTTATGATCCTCTCGTGAAGTAATCCAGAACATGAATGATGTAACTTATTTCCATGGGAAGATATTTTCGATGTCTTTGACACAAGGACTGGCTTCTCTGGAGGATCAACTAGGGACTGGTTTGAAGGAGTATGAAGTCTTTTTCCAAACCCAAATATTTTAAGGAGGTTGCATAAGTATCAAGAGGAACTGAGAACATTTCAGGCAAAATCCAATGCTTGTTTAAATGTTCTTTTTCCAGTCTACCATAGTGTTAAAGTCCTTCTAAAGTTATTAGTTATGTGCATAGGGTTCAATATGAAATCATTAGTGCTACTGCCTTATTTCTTGCTTTGAGAATGTACTCACATGACAATGAGCTGGTATTAAGTGTTGGACGAAGTTTCTGAAGATGCCTTGCAGGATGATTACATAATTTTAGGGTCTAAATAGTATTCATTACTGAAACTAATAGTTCAATTTTAACAACTGCAGAACACATCCTTATGACTTTTCAAGAGAATCAAACCATCGTAGTTTAAACAAAACCATATTGTAGAGGTTTGTATTTAGCGCTTATTTTTGCATGTTGATGTTGATTAGCTAATAAAAGATTGTAAATGTAAAACATGTTAATAAAAATTGTTTTCCATTTCTTGATTATATAAAATTAGAAAGCTGTTTTGTGTTTAAATGTGTAACTCTTACAGAGGCCTCTCTTAAAATGAGTGTAACTTCCAAGTGTTGGTTTTCAGTGTTCTACAAGATTTAAAAACACAAAACCCAACATCAAAACACCACCACAAAAATCAAAACAAACACCCCCCACCTCCCCCAAACCACCCTCCAACAACCATCAATGTTGTTCTTCAGAGCATTTCTATCAAAGAAGTGGTTATGGTTTAAACTTTTCATATATGAACAGTATAGTCCAGGTTTTTTCCTGTCCCTTCCTAGCAGACTGGCTCATGTCCGAGAGCCTTTCTGTTAGTAAAATGATGTGGGAGGTGCTAGGTGTGGGTTTTGATGTGTGACTGAGTGCCTTAAAGAATGCTAACAAAGCCTTGTGGAGGGACCACAGCTTTATTCACGTTACAACACTTAGAGGTCACAGATATATCTAAACTGATTGTATCAGCCATTGTGGAACTGTAAATACAGTGAGATTTCCAGGGAGGTGTGTCTGAAAGGCTTCAGTTTTCAGTAAGCATCATCACTGATGCTTCAGAACGGGTATATCTGGATCTCTGCAGTGGTGCCAGCTTGGCAGAGGTCAGTGTTGTGCACTTGCTGCTGGAAGGGTCTGTTCTCTCAGCATTTGCTCAAGTGGCAGATTTAGTGATTCCTTAGGACACAGTGTGCCAAGAGTAAGTGGAGGCAGATAGTAAGAGAACTTACATCAGTAACTGGGGTAATTTGCTATCAGTCAAGCAGTAATTGGTCTCTTCTCATGGGGCAAGAGTTGGAGAGTCCTCAACTCAGAAGGGGAGGATGTCACCCTGGGGAGCAGCATCTGTATTTCTTTGGGGGACCACTTACAGCATCATTGCAGAAGAGCAAGGATAGCTTTGAGGATGGCAGCATCACTTTTCCTTATTGCACAGAAATGCTAACAGACCAAAGCAGGAAAGAAGCAGTAGATTTATACTGGCCCTGAGGAAATGTGTGGTAACTGTGTAACAATTGTAGGGCACGGAAATTGTTGCTTTTGCTTCCCTAAGTACTAGTCAGAGCTGTGGTTTTCTAAGATTTCAGCCCTTTTTTATTTCTGTGGCCTGAGCAGAGTGGTGGTGAAGTCCATGCTCCCAAAAGAAAGTAGCTGGGGAGGGGAGGGGAGGAGAGCAGCTGTCCTACAAGGAGAGCCTCCATTTCTGGGAGGTGTGATTCCAGAGGGCCAGGTGCCAGCATGATGGTGTGTTATAAAGGAGGTGTTCCAGAAGGAGCGTAGGGAAGCTTCAGCTATTTGTTAGCTGTGATTGCTCACTTTAGAAATCTGCAGTCAGACAACCTGTTCTGACTGCAGTGAGACCTGTTTGAGACAGGCAGTTGTAGCCTCCTGCCTGGCCCCTCTGAACTGTGTCAGGCTGTTTCAGGCTTGCTCTGTCATGGGTTTGGAAACCTTCCAGCTGTATGGAAATTTTCAGAGGGTCACAAATGGTGGCAGGGATGGATTGGCTTGGTGCAGCTTGGAGCTCTGGTTTGCAGTCCCTGGCTGCTTTGTGCAGCCTGGAGCTCAGGATCCAACAGAGGTGTCAGTTCACAGCTCAGCTCACAGGTGGCTCCAGACATCAAACCAAGAGCAACAGGTGGCTCATAGTGAGTATAAAGTTATTTGAAATTGTAGAGGTTGAGTGCTAAAGCAAAAGCTGTCTCCTCTGGAGAGCTGGCTGAGCTGGAAATTAACAATATCCTTCACTGTGATGTTTTTTCAGTCTTGCCAAGCAATTTCACAAAATTAAACTTGAGGCTCTGGATTTTGGTTATGTTGTTTGTGTTTGAAGGCAACAGTTTGTCCCAGTTGTGGTCAGGACAGGTTCCTCTGATTTCCACAGTTACATGGAGGATGACAATTGCCTTGACCTTTCCTTCTGTTTGTTGTGGTCCAAAGCCATAGTCTAAATGCTGAAGATTTTCCAGTATTGCAGGAGAGATACTGGTAACTGTTCACAGTGACATGGGTTTCTTTTCTGCCTGTTTCAGCTTGAAGTACTCCATTATCTTCCAGGCTGAGAAGGGTTCAAGATGTTAAGGTCTTTGAAGGTACTTTGAAGGTAGGAAGTAGTGAAGCCAATGCCAAAATCAGGCAAATAATTTTGCAGGAAGTTTTAAAGACTGATGGACTGGTATGGTTTGGTGGGGTTTTTTTTAGTATAAGCATGGCCTTTCCTACTCATTAACAAAATTGCTTCTTGGAAAACAAAGATTATTTCTGAGAGCAAGAATGAGAAAAATTAAGTACAGCTGGAAATCTGCCAAACAAGCTTTAGAATATGCTTAATAGACCACTATTTAAAAACAAAACAAAACAAAAGCCAACAAAAAACCCAAACCCCACAAAGTATCAAACAAACAAAACACAAAACCAATTAATAGTCTTTTTTTCAGCTTCAGGTAGCCTGAGTAGAATGTGTTGAGAGACATATCAAGCACTTCTATCTTTGAGACCCACAGCTACACTGTGACCTTGTGCACTGGGTGTCCTGTAGCACAATAGAGAGCTCATTTGGTATAACAAAATGAGTATTTAAATCTCTTCCATCCTGTTTTTCCATGTTCCATAATGAGATATCAGATCCTGCTCAGCATGTTGTTCATCCTGCTGTGCCCTGAAGTCTGTGGCATGATGAACACTGTCCCTGCAGAAGCCTGATGGGCCTTTTGGGTTGCCCTGTGTCAGTTTTGTACTCCTCAGGACAGAGTTTCTGGCTGCATTCTTCAGCTCAAGAGTATTTTTTCCCTTTATTTATCTGGCTGTGAATGATTTTTCTGTGGCATGACCTTCTGGCATTTGGTACCAATAATCTGCATCTTTAAGGGCAAAGCCAGGCCCTAGTGACACTATGCTGGCCCAGCTGTTGGGTGCCATGCCTACTGAATTAGTGCTCCAAACAAACCCCAGCCCAGATCAACAGGAAAATTGATCAGGGCTGATCTTCATCTGATCCTTGAACAGATAACTGCAAGTAGTTTCTTCTAGTCACTGAATGCTGTAGTAAGTCCTTGTTTCTGCTTGATGAGAAGCATCTGTGGGTCAGATGTTCACCAGGATCTCCCTGCATTATGCTTTGCAAAGATTCAGCATCTGGTTGGTTCTGCAATGTGCATTGGCCACGCTGAAAGACACCATTTTATTAAAGACTTGGCCCTGTTAGCTAAGCTTTGAGAAGTTTTCCGCAGCTCAACTTTCTCCTTGTTTTAGGAAGAGATCTAAGATGGGCAGAGCCAGCCAGCAGAATGAATCTCTTCTTAGCTCTTTACTAACACATTTTCTGACAGCCAGGTAGGTTCTGTAAATAGAATTAAGTATCTCTGGCATACAGTCAGGGGAAGAAAATTTGCCATCAAGGCTCGGAAGAAGCTACAGCCTGGTTACTGTTGGATGTGAGGGCTGGAGAGGTTTTTGGCACAGCAGCTACAGAGCCCACAGAAATTATTTCTTCATTACAGCTTTTGTGGGAAGTTCAATGTGCATCTGAGCTAGTCACTGAAAAAAACCCTCATCTTAAGAGATCTAGTCCTGATCTCAGTTTGAACTGAAGCTCTAAGACTCTGTACATGGAAGTTCTTACTATCAAAAATTAAATTAGTCCTTCTAAATTAGTCCTAGTGACCAGTTTGATTTGACTGAGGAGCTCACAGATTTGAATAAGATATTTCAGACCACTATGAAATCCTGATATTTGACCATGTTAAAATGATCAGAGAACTGTATCCTGAGCCAGAGGAAATCAGCTATAGGATAAGTAGCACCACAGGAAGAACAATAGAAACAGCAGAACAAGAAGATGCAGAAAGGGCTGCTGAACAAGAAAAGCTGTTTGCTTTGACTCATTAAAAATGAGATCAAGCGTCAGGGTAGAGCTAAGAAATGCAATCAGCCAGTTACCTTTCAAAGATACTAAAATAACTTCAGAAGCTTTTAAAAGTGCGAGTAAGAAGAAAAATTAATGTGAAATGACTGTGTGGTAGAGATCAAGACCTGATTACAAAACTGCACCCAGCACCTTCCTGCTTGCTCCTAATAAGATGGCAACGTGCGACATCGGTGGGTGGCGTGGAGAGGGAGGTGCACTGAGAAAACCAGAAATAACTTAGCAACGTGGAAGTGAAAAAAATATGCTCAGTTACAGAAACCAAGTGATCACACTGCTCGAATTCTTAATTGTTCAGATCTAATGGAAACAAGCTGTCCTAGTATCCAGCCTGGGTATGGTATCACATAGAGTCATGAATGGTTTGGGTTGGAAGGGACCTTAAAGATCATCTAGTTCTGACCCCCTGCCATGGGCAGGGACACCTTCCACTAGACCAGGCTGCTCAGAGCCCCATTCAGCCTGGCCTTGAACCCCCCCGGGGATGGAGCAGCCACAGCATCTCTGGGCAACCTGTGCCAGTGCCTCACCACCCTCACAGGGAAGGATTTATCCCTTACATCTAGTCTAAACCTGCCCTCTGGCAGGTTAAAGCCAATCCCCCCTTGTCCTATCACTCCATGCCCTTGTCAAAAGCCTCTCCAGCTCTCTTGCAGCCCCTTTAGACACTGGAAGGTGCTGTAAGTTCTCTCTGGAGTCTTCTCTCCAGACTGAACAGCCCCAGCTCTCTCAGCCTGTCTCCATAGCAGAGGTGCTCCAGCCCTCAGAGCATCTTTGTGACCTCCCCTGGACTCGCCCCAGCAGGTCCACATCCTCCTTATTCTGGGGCTGCAGAGGGGCCTGGTGCTGCTGTGCTGGAAGCTGGAGCACAGTCCTGGTTGTTAGGTCATATCTCTCACACTGCAGCTGGAGCAAAGCTGTTCAGTTCCCCAAACTAATGTGGAAAAGCAAAGCTGGTTAAGTGGGGGATAACACATGAGGGGCTGAAACCTACATCTCTACCTGCTCCTTTGACCCTACTTCCTATCCCATAGGATTAACTTT